TGAACTCATTTCATCTGTATCTCTCCAAAATTTCCATAACTCACTTAAGGACCTAAGTTCACTTTGTATTTTGTCTTCCTCTATCTCATCTGTTTGTTTTTGAATTTTTATAGTTAGGAAATTAATTAGTTGTTATAATGATTTCTCATTGGTGTGTGTTCACTCTCTTCATTATTATTTCTTTTGCACTCAAACACATGTATATCAGTTTCCTCATACCTTCCACACAATATACATTTTGGACTGTTATATATGTAAGGTTGATGCTTGAATTTTTTGAGCATTACAGGCAGTTCTCCATTAAAATGTTTTATTGCAAAACTTCTTTTAATGTGATCTTCTTTGCTTATGTTATCATTTGTTATCTTACTTGGATATAATGTTTTAAATGTAGTGATCTAGTCAATTTTTTGTGTTTTTTCATTATCCAAGATTTTTTGAAACCTCTTTTACAGTTTCCAACATTGTCTGTGTCTTATTGTATTCATTTTTTTAAGGCCTGCTTTATAGGAAGCTCTATGGGTATTTCTTCCCATGGTGGAATAAAAGATCTGTTTCCAATATTTTTGTAATTAATTTTGATCACATAATCCTCTTTTATTGTTTTTTCTGTAACTTGTGCTAGTTGGTCTGTCATTTCATTAAAATAGTTTCTCATGTACTTTTATCTTATGTAACTTAATTTGTAGTTTCAATTCATCTATAATTTCTTTTATAGACTGAAGTATAATAGGATTTTTGACTTCATTCCATATATAATTTATTTTTCCTTTATTGACTTTGTTCATATTATCTATAGCACACTTGCCTGGGAACTTTTTGGCATTACTGTTAGTGCTGTTAGTATTGCCATTAATACTGCTCTAGTTGATAATGGGAATTGTTCTAAGTTCAGAATGTCATATTATTATTTAATTCTTGATCTAAAATCACCTATCCCAGGCTCATGTAGTCTTCTTCAAGAATGTTATTCATTGAACTATCTGTATATACTTTAATTTCTGTTCTATTTTTAATTTGTCTCTTATAGTTTTCAATTTTATATATACTGACTTTTCTGTTGTTTACATTTTCTAATCAAGTTTTGTTTTGTTTCTATGTTAGTCATATCTAAACATATGTTTTGGTCATTTATGGTTCTTTGTGTGCAGATTCTATAATTTCTATTGCTTTTTTTAATGTTTTTAAATGGCATCCTTATTCTGTGCTTATATCTTTTTCTTATTGTTACTGAGGTTGAGATCTTTGAGTATGCAACTAGTATTTCTATTTCTGTCTCATCCATGTTGTCTAGTCTTATAATACATTCATTTGTTTTATTCCCAATGTTCTCTTTATAATCTTCACAAGGAATCAGCACTGATGTAGGTTCTATATTTCTTGTTAGTATATCATAATGTTTCATAATTTTTTTTATTTTTATTTTTCTCTCTTATTGTCATATTCTTTGTTGTTTTATTTTTCTTTATTCTTTCTATTTTTATTTGGTTAGTATTGTCTTTTTCTTGGCCATCCAGTTGTGCTTATTTAAATTGTAATTATTTTGTAATTGAAAGAATTGGTTGTAATACTTGTCATTTATTTGTGTAATTATTTCACTATAATTATCCATAATTATTTTCTCTTTGTCTTTTATGAGTTTATACCAATTTTGAATTCTACCCTTTTTGTTTATGAAGTTGGCTTGTATGTGTGGCCATTCCATTACTTTTTTAAGCTCAAGATCTGGAATTTGTTTTAAGTATAAACTTTTCTTTTCTCTTAAGCTTTTCTATGTGTTTCATATTTTTGTCCAATACTTTTCAGTACCATTTCTATTAATATTTTTCCACCTGATATAATCTTAAGATTACATTCACCCCCTTTAGTTTGGTGCTATTTGATTTTGCTCCTCTTATATAAATTAATTATTGATGCTATATGGTTACTTCCTTTGATTTTGATTATCTTTTCTGTTTCCAGAAATGATTTATCTGTCTATAAGAACTTTTGAAATTGTTGCAATCTTAGATTAGTTGTTATTCCTAATATATCTGTCTGTTTAGGTGGTCATTGATGTTTTTACCATGTATTTGGATTTGTCAATCATTAATGTTAAATACTTTGTAGCCTTCATTTAAGAAGAATAAACTATTTATAGCTTTTTTGCAAAACAGCTTTGTGTTTTATAACTTTTAGGCACATTGAATTAAGTCTGTTGCATAAATTTTCTGATAGAATTATATCATTTAATAAATATTCAATTACTGGACTATACTTGCATACAAAATTGTTTTGAAGCCCCGAAATTGCAATTTTGAGAAAAAAAGTTGAAATAGTTTTTCATAGAAGATGAAATTATTTTACTTAAAACCTGAAATTTTTTGACCACCCAGATTTATTCTTTGATTGAATATACATATAACTGAATACTTTTTTTACTTCCATATATAGAATAGATTTTGCATAAATTTCAAAAAGTTGAAATACCTCAAAAATCAAAAATCAATTTTGGGAACATGTATATACTGGACATAGTACCTGGTTGATTATATATCTAACTTCTTTGTCTGTAGCCCTTTTCTATGTTAGTGTTCTACAAATGTTTTTCACTTTCTCTTCTATTAATTTTTTTTGATATTTTTCTTTACCATTTGTTGACATCCAAATTTCCAATATTCTCACATGTTCATTTTTGTTTATTGCATTTCTTTCTTCTTCCATAAATTCAATAGATCTTTATTCTTTGTTTTTAGATGTGTTATTTATACAAATAAGATGGGATTTCTCAGCATTGATTTGTGTACCAGTTTTTTGTGAGAATTTTTCTACTGTTTTTAATATCTTTTCCATTTGCTTTTATCTTGAGATATGTATGTGATATCATCCATATATGCAAATGCATTTATTTTATCTTTGAATCTCTTTTCTTCATGTGTTCTCGAATCACCATATTGTATTTTTTCCATGTAATAACCTTCTTCCTGACTTTAAATTTGTGTTAATAGTGGATTATAATATATTCTCCATAATAGAGGTGATAATGCATCTCCTTGTTCTATCCCAAGGTTAGAATTAAATGTTTCTGTCAGCCCATAATAGGTTATTACTTTATTAGTTCTACTTTTTAGTAGTTTATCTATTATTACTATAATTTCTTCTGGAATTTTTATTCTTTTCATACTTTTTTTTAGCATTTCTATATTTACTGAATCAAAAGCTTTTGATATGTCCTGTGATAAGATCCATATTTCTTTTTTAAATTCTTTAGCTTCCTCTGTACAATTGTTCAATATATATAAGACCTTGTGTTGATCCCTCAAGCAAACCTGCCCAGTTATTTTCATTTAGAATTGTGTGTTTTGTTAATATTGTATTGAGTCTATTATCAATTCTTTTTGTAAATATTTTTCTAGCTGTTTCTAGTAGGGTGATTGGTCTAGTATTCCATAAATTCTTCTCCAAATCTTTGGGTTTAGCTATAGGGAACATATGTTCCTCTGACATTCTTTTGGTATTTCTTTGTTTTTTAAAATCTGAATATATATATCTGTGAGAAATTGTAGTGCATTGTTACCTATATGTTTCCATAGTTCATTGGTAATTGTAGATTGACCTGTTGCCTTTTTGTTTAGTAATTTTCTGATAATTCTTTCAATTTCTTCTACTGTAAATTTTCATTGTTTTGATTATAAATTTGTTTCCACACTTGATTTTGATCTAGGTTTTCTATATTTTTTGAGGTAATCCAATGACTAAATACATTTTTAACTTCTTGTTTTATTTCTTCTGGATCTGTTAATACTTTATCTTGCTTATTGGTTGTTCTAATTAAACTGTCTGTTGATATTCTAGGTCTTTTTTTATTTAGGAGACTTTGAATAACTATTTTTTTGTTATCTTGGAAGTTTTTATTTCTTTTGATAATCTATTCTTTAATTTTTTTATAATTTGCATCTTTTATTTCTGCATCAAATACTTTGTTTAAGTATGGTGCATTCTTTTGACTCCTTTCAACCAATTTCTAGTCTCTTCTGTTGTTTCTGTCCATGATGGAATTTCAATTTCTATATTATACTCTTCCCTAATGTTTTTTATTTTTTTAAATATTTTTTCTTCTAATATGCTCTTTTTTTTCTGTTAGTATACCACTGTCAGCTCCACTCTTGAATCTTTCTTATAGATATCAGTTTTCTATATGTGATGAAGCAATCATACTTCCCAGATTTAAGTTTTTTCTTTTTTGAAATTATTTCATTTGCTTTTCAATTATGACATTTTAGAAAAAATTCCATTTTTCTTCAATATTGTCATTTACAAAGGTGGTATTTCTGCCATAATTAATTCAATCTATGATTTGAATTTTTTCCATTTTTTTTTAGATGTTCCCTGAAGTTAAATTCTATCTTATTTAGAATTTTATTGAATCTGTTATGGATTTAGTATATTTAAGAATATTGTCTTCTATTTCTGCTATTGCACAGGCATGGTCACTGTGACTTTCCAAATCTGAGGGTATAATATCTGCACAAAAGAGTTGATCTGCTAAGTTATCTGATACCCATATTTGATCTATTCTGCTTTTAACTTCTTGGATACTGTTTCTCCAAGAAAAATTTAGTTTTTTTGTTCTGCATATTTTCATTTTCTATGATATCTTATATGTTCTAAAAGTATTTTTAAACCTGTTATTATCTAAAAATCTCAATATTTGACTTTCAGGTTTATCTGATCTATTTCTTGCTTTGATGTTAATATTAAACCTATCAATTTTAGGATTAAATGTGACATTAAAATTTTCCATCACTATTGTATAATGCCTGTCCTTAACTATGTAATTGTTTAACTCTTGTATTATCCATTTTGTTACATGAGTTCTTAGCTTCTTTTGATTTGCACTTGTTGGATAATATACTACTATTATTTATAATTTTATTTTTTTTTTGAATGACAATTTTATAGAGATCACATTGCCTTCATATTTATCTATCTTATAAACATGTTTTTTCCCATGTTTTTTTATCTCCTGAACCATTTGTTTGTTGTCCATTTGCCTAAAAATATTTGTATTCATTGACATTTTTATCTTTCTTGTATTTCTTTTATTGTATCATTTTTGAATATATATTTACAATTTTCATCTTTTGGCCAGGTTTCTGTTAGTCCAATTATATCTAAGTCTTTATCTTCGAATTTCAAACAATCTATTTGTTTTGTAATGTTTGTTATTCCTCTTATATTTTGAGTAGCTATTTTTAAAGTTTTAAATCATTATGATTTATATTCTTATCTATTATGACACTATCATTATTTTGATCCATATTTAATACATAATTGTTACTATTTATTAGTATATTATTTATATTTTTAGTTTTATTTATTTTTTTTATTTTATCTTCATTTTTAAAATTTTTTTTTGAATTTTTTTAATATTTTCTAAGTTATTATTATTATTTAAGAAAGGGTTGTTATTATTTTTTTAATATTAATGTTATTAATTATATTAGTATTTTGTTCATTTTCTATTATATTATTATTATTAATGTTTATATTTTTATGATTGTTCATCATAATATAATATTTTTTAAAAATTATGTTCCTTAAATTAGGGTTTTGTCCCCTCCTTGTTCATTATTTTTTTCAGTATGTTTTTCCACTCTATTTAATTGTGCCAATGTTATTTTATTTTCTTCTAACAGAGTTTTAACTGTTTCATAGATATAATTTATTGTTTTCTCCATTTCTTGACCTCTTTTTTATTATTTGTTATTTGTGCTTTTGATTTTTCTTTTTCATTTATTTCTTCATTTTCATCATCACTGATTTCCATTTCTTCTGCTTCTTCATCATTTAATATTTCATAAGCACAATGAGTTTCCACTAATCCCAATCTTTCATCTATATCTTTCACCTGTTCCTTGATCTTTTTTTTTTTTTTTTTTTTTTTTTTTTATATCCAACGGAGTCTTGCTCCAATAAACTTTATTAATAGATTAAGTGT